AGCGCGACACGTCGAGGAGTCGCAGTCGTTGCAGCGATTGGTCGCCCAAACAGCCAATCAACTCGTTTATCGTGCATTTCGAAAGTCGCGACACCCGGAGCTCTTTCAGCGCGTGAGAGCGGAGAGACCGCAGCGAACGAGTGGTCAGAAGAGAGGCGTCTTCGATGCAAACGCGAGACAACGGCGTCGACGCGAAGAGCGGTTGGAGGAGAACGTCGTCTGAAATGGAAGACAGGATTAGTGTTGGAAGCGTTTGTTTGGGAAATACCCGTCAAGTGGTGTTCGGACAGCGTTTGCAGCAATTCCTCGACGAGAGCGGCGCTGAGAGGGAGAGCGGGAGAGGCCGGCGATGACGTCACACAACTCTCGAGCGAAAGGCGCAGAAAATCGAAACAATATTCGCGAAGAGTTTTCGGCGAAACAAACATTGGATTCGATTTAATGTTTACTGTTTTGCACTCATTCTGACGTCAACTCACTCTTCGGTCCCTTTTGTCACAATAACTGACACTCAGTTCGTATAAAAAGGGACCAAAAATGCGGTTTCTGTTCAAGAATTTTCTTCATTTGTTGCGTTATTTGTGTTCGAATTCAGGAATAAATTCAAAAATAGAATAAATTCTCGAAAAGAAGAAAAAATTCTAAAAAGAATTCAATTTTAAATCCAAAGAAATCCAAGTTTTTCTTAATTTTCAACAAATTTTATGTTTTTAGAAATAATTAGAATTTTGCGTAAAATTTGTATTAATTTTGGTTTTTCGACACTTTTTCTCACTTTTTGACCAAAATTTGGAGAATTTTATGCAAAAGTGAATAAAATTGCGAAAAAATAATTAAAAAGATTTGAATTTCGTTTCAGTTTTCTTTCAGGAAATGAAAAACAGATTTTTTGAAATGAATTCCAAAAACAAAATGAATTCGAAAACAGTTTCTCTTTTGGTCTCTTTGTTCGCGCGTGAGTTTCCCTCCAATTATGACAACTGTCTTCATCCCCCTCTCTGTCCAGTGCTCGCTGTCGTGACGTCAGCGTCGAGTCCGTGCGACAACAGCCCCGACCCCGTGGCGTGCGGGCGCGCGGTGTTGCTGAGGGGACAGTCGCATATCGGCATTCCCAGCGCGTGCTTCTCGCCGGTGGACGCGGGCCCCTGCGCTCAGGACCTGATCCGCATTTACTACGACTCTAAGACGTACACGTGCAAAGCCTTCTCTTACAGCGGTTGCGGCGGAAACGCCAATCGCTTCGTGAGTGTGAAGAACTGCTACAAACTCTGTCATCCCTATTATCGCCAGCGCTTCGTCTCCCTTTCCAGCGACGCGGGCGCCGCGCCCAAGCAGTTGGGGCCCTTCTGTGAGTGTCTATTGTCACGTGTCACCACTGTTTCTATGTCTGTGTTTGTCTTTAGCGAAGAAAGAGGGCGACGAACCCGACAGCGAGGAGGCAGCAGCGTTGGAGCGCTCGCGCGCGACGTCCACCACGACAGCGACGTCGGAGACGACAACCGAGGGAACGACGACCACTGAGGGCACGACCGCCGAGACGACGACCGCGACGACGACGACTGTGGCGGCGGCTGAAGACCCGGCGCCTCTCGAGAAGACGAAGGAGAAGACTTCTGACGGCGCGCCGCCCGGACTCAAGTTCTTCTCCACAATAGACGTCGTCAACGAGTAATGAATGTCTGAATTGTGAATCGCAAGCACTCTAACCATTGTTGTTTTGCAGACGCGACGCGTTCGCACCGGCGGTGATGGCGCAGTCGCAGTCGCAATCGCAGCGACTAAGGAATGTGCAGAGCGCGGGGTACAGGCCGATGGGAGGGTTCGTGGCCACAAAGAGCGGAACTCGACCTCAAATAGTGAACAAACAAAAGATCTTTTATACGAAATATTGATTACATTTCGACTTCTATTTGTTGAACGGAAGTGACGTTTAGTTTCACTTTCTTCTTAATAAAGCACTTTTCTGTTGTCGTAATCACGGGTCC